CGCCGACTCTGATCAAGAGTTTGATACTACAGTGAGAAGTTGTTGTCGATGTATGCAGTACACTAAGGGCTCGGCAAATAACGCCGTCATTAATATAACGTAGTGCTTACTGTGGGGTCGGTTTAGTGGCCGCCCCGGTTTTAGACTGCAAATAAGTGTCAGTTTGTAAATAAAGTGAAGCTTGCCAGCAACTGAGCAACCGGTTCTGTCAAGTTCTTCAGCGCGTCGTCGTGATCATCTGAACCATCGGGATAACATCAGTCATCCCAAACTTAACTCTGCTCCTCTGCACATGGCGACCTGTCACTCTCCATTTTATATTGCCCAACTGCTCAGCGAACCAGCTTTCCCCTCTCCCTTCCCTTTCCATCACCACCTGGCTCGAATGGATCAGCGCCGAAGGCGAAAAAAACAACATTGACTGGTCGCGCAGGCGGTCGAAATGCTTGGCCTTTAGATTTGGCTGAAATAAAAGTCTATTACTACTACTGCTACCCTTGGGCCGTACAAACGCTACAAGTTTCCTGGAACGCTATTTGAACAATTAATGTCGACCTAGTACTTCCCTTTCTTTCATGCCCCTTTAATAGGCGAGCTATTAGTATTGTCGTTTGTACGTATTGCGAAGACCAAATATTGTGCCTGGTGGTGGCGTGCGCGTTGCATATAGCAACCACTCGACACAGCTGTGACCCACTCTCCTTAGAAAGAAAATCACATGATTCCGTTGTGGTAGTATAGCAAGCGCCTGGAATAGAAAAGTGAGGGTGCGTCGGAGAGAAACGAGTAGGGGCAAAGGTGAATCATTGCATGACCATGTACTCAGAAAAGGGCAGACTACGCATCCGCAAGGCAACGCGCGAGCCTACGCAGCTGTTCACTTTGTTGATGGTTCTGCTGCTGCTGATAACTAAATATGCCCGATCCCTTTGCAATGGGTGGACCATTAAAACAGCCAATCGTTGCTCAATTCACACGTTTTGCCGCCTGCCGTGATTCTACGCTTCTGCCTTGCAATATTACATGCCTCGAAAAGACTCCTCCTAGCACATGGCAATCGTATAGAGCTTGTTTCCACAGCATGCACCTAGAGATATCGTGGCTCTGTGGAAGACGACCTGCTTGCTACGCTTATGACCTGGGTAGTCCATATTTTTTATTTTTATCCTATATTCTTTTTCTTCTACACTATCTTTCATCGCCACTTTAGTGACCTGTTGAAGTGTCCTCGTAAGGAAAGAGAGTAACAGGTGGTCCGCACCTTTATTTTCTTTTCTTTCTGTTCTAACCACTTAAAAATCCTCATTCGTATCAGGATATATATTTATTGTTTTTATAATGTTTGCATATCTCAATTTGTTGGTCACAAACCAGTTGAATATTACTCGTCTACATCTAACGATGCCGTCACGGACGCCGAAATTTCTGCGGAACGAGCTTCTGAACGCTATCGCGTTAAAATGTAAACAAATCTGCACAGCGCCAGTAGTGAGCCCTCATTTTAATCCAGTTTGATATATTCAAAGGAGGACAGCCCTAAAGGGTTAAGCCTTGCCGCCCGAAAATTAGAAGTAAACGAAGTGACAAAAGGGCAGGAAAGCTTGCAAATAAAGGAGTAATAAAGAGCCGGAAGAAGAAAGAGACGGGAAAAGGCGACTGCAAGTTTCTCTGGATGGGCCAGCCCGGTAGTGTCGTCTGTGTGAAGTCGGTGCCAAATGGATGTGCTTGCTGCCTTTATCCGTAGCCGAAGGGATCCCATTACACGTCGTTGGCTCACATGTCCAGATCCCCTTTTCCCCGTACACGGTAAGGCGACGTGTGGGAGGGGATGGAAACCTTCCTTTCTCCGCACTTGTCTCGGGTCTCTCATGACGCTACTTACCAAACGCCTGCAAAATCAGACGCCTCTGCAGGGTTCTCGCGAAGCTAAGATTCATGTAGTGGCCCTGCGGACTCGGGCCACGAAATATATTTGTGCTTTTGGCGAAGCAAAACCAAAGTCGTTGGAGAGAAAGCAACCACTATGACAAATTGCCCCCGGAAACATGAAAACGAGCCGTTTGGCGCCATCGCGTATCACGTTCTTTTGCAAGTGAATTTGGTCGCCATACTTGTTTGAAATGTTTCTGCCTCAGTTCTCCGCCCAGGTAACGGGATTTCAATGGATAACAGCGTTACAACACGTGGCCGAAAACAAAAGAGCTGACCCTGTCTCCGATCTTAGCGACGTAGAGTCTTTGTGAGAACGTCTACAGTGATGGATTCGTGTCGCAATCTGTCGGTGCGGTACAATTGTCTATTTATCGTCTTTTCAGGATGGCCTAGAAGCCAACGTCTGCGACTGCAGAGATTGTTGCCCTCTGCGGGGCCGCTAATTTATTTCTTCATCATGCATCGTAGAAGCGCTTCTGAATGTGCTAAGGCGACTAGAGAGTAACCTTACCTTCATGGATAAGGTGGCAAACATTTTAGAAGTATGGTGTAGCAGTCAACAGAAATAGATAAGTAGTGTGGTAGTAGTGAAAATCGTTCGGACAGGCAAAGTTTAATCTAAGCAACTTATTCTTTTTTCATCAAATTTGAGAAAACTTTCGCAGACGTTCAATACGGTGTGCAGAAAAGCAATGTGGTGATTGCAAGTTATAAAACGTTTTGCAAAATGTTTGATCAGCGCAGCCAAAGGGCAGAAAAATAAACGTTCGAAGGGGGAGGCATTTTATTACATCTCATAGGACCTAATGCCAAAAAACCACGCTTCCATTCGATGTTAGAGACATGCCTATTACCACGCGCGAGGCTTCCTATCTGACTGCAGAGCCACCAACTTCGGTCAGGCATGATCAATTGTTCCACCAAAGGAACTCCGTGAAATTCGGATTATTCAACGTGGTCATCGCATAGCTGTCACCTACACTGCACAAACTTTAGCCTATACAGCACGTTGCGCACGTCGACGGCGCAACAATACTGGTGACAACATCGTTGGAAAGAGTTTTTTACAAAACCTTCCAGGAAGCCGTCAAGATATTGGGCTGCCCTAGCCAAAGTTTCACAGATCCTTCCATCATAACAGTTCCTTCCGTCATAGCAACCGGTATCAAATAAAAATGAAACCTGCCGTCGTAAAACTGGTTGTATGCTTACAGTACATTGATATACGAAAGCTTGCAAAATGTTTAGTGGAGTGTGGAAGCTAAAGAGCCGTTTAATGTACATGCACGTGCATTGATACCTGGTGGCACATATACGCATATCTGCACACATCATATGGTGAATTCCGCGCAAAGATGGCTTTAACGTGCACGTATTCAGCACTGGTGTTCGATATTCACTCTTTCAAAGTTGTCTTTTGAGGAACAAAACGGGAGAGTATGCGATCTTCAGTAGTAAGGTAGCCTATGCCTGTATTCATGCCTACAATACTCCACTGCTCTCCAGGAACGCGAGAGGTAGTGTTCGTAGGTGGAGCTGTGGATGCGGAAAGGCATTCAGCTAACCTCTTGCATGCCTCTTGCTGCGCTAAAGCACTCATCTGCAGGACAGTCACACGCGAACGTTGTTGCTTTTTTTGCGGAACTTACTGCAGCCGTTTCGTTAGTCGACGCCACCGCAATTGATAGCGGAGAAACATTGTTGCTCCATTCGGAAGCTGTCCAACGCTAGTGAGGAAGTCTCATATGCTAACACGAAAGGCAAATGACGTCACTTTGTCATCACCGAATCAAGTAGCTGCCCACGCCACATTTCACCGACCATATTCTTGTACATGCCACAAAGATATGACTGTTTTTGCGTGACGCAAACACAAGGAAAGAGGGTGAAGGGGAGTTCAAAAATGGCCACATCTTTCTGGCCTGCACAGGAACATAAACCGACTGACACAGCAAAAAGTACTTCACCGACAAGAGCTTCCTACAATATTGAATTTAAAGCCTTCGCTGCGCTGAAACTGCTGAAGCGCTCCCGGGTGGCACTGGTCAGCGTCATGATCCATCGCTTATTTACCACTACCACATGGCGACACAACCCCGCCAGTTAAGAGCATCATGAGAAGTGTCTGAGATAAAGGGCTTGTTTGTGACGCTACCTACATGTTTGATGGTAGCGCAGTGGGTACAGCGCCCGGAAAGCTATCATCGCGCATCGAGAGGGCGTGCGTTCGACTCGCACCAGAACCTTCCCTTCCAGTTTGTGTTTGCCATCTGATAGCATGCCCTTTACCAACGTTATTTACGGGACGGAAATACGTTAGTGAAATTTTGGTGGACACTACCGTAAAAACACTCGCGTAAAAAATTGGAAACCCGTGCTCTATGAGTTAATGGTGTTTTTAGCCTGTGCATGCCTAACCTACGCCACTGTTCACTGCTTCTTTCTATCGCTATATACAATGCTCCATCATTACTCTTTTCTCGAGTGTTCACCTTGAAGTCCCTTCCCAGCTTCTGGTCAGGTTCTCGTTACCTTCGCTGAATGCTGCCTAGTTAAGGCGTCCGTTGATAACGTCAAGAGATCGAGAAACTGGCGTGGCAGCCCTGGTTGAATGACCAAGCTGTTCGAAAAGTCCGCTTCAAATGAAAGCGCGACAATTTCACCTCCCCCCCTGGCACTTTTGAGGAGGGGTACTGATTGGTGCCAAAATGTGCAGTTTTTCTTTTAAAATGATAACTTCACCACCTTAGTTAGCGTACCCCGTTTCCGCCATGAAACCAAGCATTCTTCAAAAGTCCAGGGCCACAGAAATTTCCATTCATTACTTCACCGTCACGCAAAAGAACACTTCACCTCAGTTGGTGTGCTGCTGAATGGGACCTCTTTCGAGAGCAGTGAAAAGTACAGTCCCCCTCTTCCGTATAAAATTTTTTTGAGTGGGTGGGTTGCGTTTCATTTGCCCCACTGTCGATAAAAGCGCCTAAGTGTGCAAAGCCCTTTCATAGGCGCCTTGAAACTGAGGTTCTTCCAGGTGCTAGAAAATAAATCACCAAGAGCTTCAAACTCACGGCAAAATGCGGGACCCTTGATCTTCCCAGCACGAGCACAGCAGATTGCGCTCAAAAACAAACAAACACTCAGCAGTGTGACCCGCATATTCTTGACTGGGGCGTCCTTCACTAAACCTTTATCACTGCGAGCAATACACGATCATACGAAAGAAGACCGACTGAGGTTTTGTGCTTTCCTCAGCTGGTCACCCAAAGCAGCTGGGCCATGAAGCAACGGGCATTGTAGGAGACACATGTCAGTGAAACTTTCATGCATTGTTGGTTACGCAGCATGGACAAGATCAATCGTTTGCGTCAAGTCTGTCTGATTGAGCTGTTTATGCAAACGTCTCGAAGAAAACAATGGTGGTATTTCAGGCCCGTTGCCAGGGATTTTTTTCAGGGGAAGCCCACTTGTTGAAGGGGTTGAGAAACACCAATTTTTATTATCTTTTCTCTATGAAGCACTCCCCTCGATCTGACTTTCAGGGCTGAGGCCGGGCCCATATACCTGCACCTCCTCTTTGGCTACAAGCGTGTTGTATTTCTAGAGACCCTGCTAGTTTACGAATAAATACGCCGTTACAGTGAACAAAAAGTAGCCAGTTTTTACACGTTTCCGAAAAGTGCTTCATGTCGCTTCAAATATTATGATAGCAGTATAAAATAACATTAGCGAGTTTAATATTTAAGGGACACTAAAGGCAACTATTACATCGACGTTGATTGTTGAAATAGCGGTCCAGAAACCTCGTAGTGTTACTTTTATGGCAAGGAAGGGCTTATTTTGAAATGAAAACACGTTTTGGTGATCTACGCCTGGTTAGCGCACTTCAAATTACCCGCCTAAAGAAGCAGACCGACCGGACAGACTCACGTCACTGTTGCCGTGCACAACGTTGCCCGGCTTTACTGCGCTAGTAGCAGCAGACCGAAAGCAGTGGGAAGCGCAACAGCAGCAACGACCATTGATCGATTTTGCTCCATTGGCTCCGAAATTGCCGACGTTTTTTGGTTCAACTGCGCCCAACTGGAGGGCATCACCTGTGCAGTGTAACTACACAAAAATTGAATTTTTGAACCACTCGCGCCATTCCCCATCGTAACGTTTGGCGGTTCTTTTTTGATGAATCACACTCAAACGAACAAGTAGCATTTTATTGTGTCTGTTGATGCAGAAAGGTTCTTTTTAGTGCAGCTAGATTGTTTACTAGTTATAATTAGCAAGTGGTCTGTCTGTCTGATGTCATCGGTATGATTTTGAGAATGTCCTACTGCGGCGCCTGTGTTCTTGTGCATTTACCTTAATTTCTCGGTACGTAGCGCACTGTTGTTGATAATATAGTTGTTTTAGATGTTGCCGTACATTGAGAGTTCACTCTGACGTAAAGTGTTATTTGACTTTAGTGTCCCCTCAATGAGGTCACTAGTTTTTAGTATTACTACTAACAAAGAAAAATGAGCCCCTACACTTCAGCTCATAAGTCAGCACAGTATTTATAACGCATGAAAGATTGTTGCCACAACTTAACTTCATACCATGTCCTCTGAAGAGTAACTTGTGAAATCATCCGGATAAAAACAATGAACCATCAAATATAAGGTGACAGCAATAATTCCTAGCAATAGAGTGGTAATTTGGGCCTCGACAGCAGGTACTAAAAAATCACAGTTTCCCCACAAGAGCGAAGCAATGAATACGACAGCAGCGAATTGCAATTGACGCGAAAAACAGCAAGCACAACGAAACGTGCAGCGCACTTCGCACGCACAAATGACAAAACGGGGTGCTCTTTCGTTCGCGTTTTCTGAAGAGGCGAAAGTTAAGCAGACTGATTTCTCAGTAAAACGAAACTCTGTTGGCACAAATAAAATGAAATTCTTCTTAGCACATTTTGTATAAAAAATATGGACATGCACGTAGTGTGAAAGTGTCAATCTACAAAAGCAGCTTCAATTTGCAACTGATATACGGACATAATGAGCAAATGTTGAACCCAGAATATCCGAAGCAATGCGAAAATTATCAACAATCGCGAAAAGAATGCGTTGCGTTTAACTCAATCACGTTCGCTGTGATGGAGCTCATAGCTTTGTTACGAAAATTCAGTACCAAACGAGACTGAAGAGGCACGGAGAGGCTTGAAGCAATCAGAAGTTTTTCGAAAAAGCGTCACTGGAAACATTGTTTCGGCAAGCTGACTTGCGCTCGTCAGTGCAACAGGATTGCCTTGAACAAAATGTCGCTTGTCCAAACGTTGGCTTCAGTAACATTCTGTGTAATAATTTTATTGCGATAGCAATTATAGGGACACTCGTGGCTGGATTTCGCTGCCGGCGTCGGCATCAATGTCATGTACCGTATATGTATCTACATATGCGAAAACGAAACAAAAAAAAAATCCAGAAAAAAAGACTCTGGCGCACGGAATCGAATGTCGGACCTCCGCGTCCTGAATGCGAGGCGTTCACTACAGAGCCACCGCGAGGTACCTCCTTGAACATTCAAACGGCAAGCTATTTAGGTCAAACACTTACCACTGTTGGCGGGCATCTCGGGGGGGGGACTATGGTTTTTTAGCATTATCAGATAGATGGCGCAATGAGCGTGCAGCGGCTAGAGAGCCTTCATGTGCGTGCGTCTCACGGAGACACGCGCACTTGAAGGCTCCCTAGCAGCGGCTCTCATCTATCTCGCGTACTTTCATCCGTGAAAGGAGGGGAGTGGACAATTACTCGCGCGCCTTCATCTCCCGGTGGGGAGGATCATACGTCTTGGCTGGCGTTTGGCTGACGTTTGGCTTAACTGGAACGATTCTGTTGTAGTTACGGGGCGCAACAAAGGTCACGGCATTACTTGCACAGCCTCCATTTGCGGAAAGGGCGCGCTTTTCAGACGCAGCGAAGTAACAACTAAGACGCTTATTCGCGTTCATCAGTAACTATGAATACGTTTTGTGCGTCATTTGTGCAGTGAGAAATGCTGGGCACGTTACGACCTGCTTGCCATTCTACGCGTGACCTTTCAATTTGTTGCTATCACGTTCATCGTTTCTCCTTTGTGGCAAAGCTGTTACTTTTTTTAGAATCATTTAGTCCATCACGTGGATCTGAGTGACAGAATTAAAAGTAAAGAATCGCAAATTTTTAAACCAAGGATACAAACATTTCATGAGCATGAAGCAGCCTATGATTACTTGACGTCATTTTGACTACACGCCAAAAGTAAAAGAAGTTGAAGCTATGTAGCCGAGCAGACTCAAAATTGAGCCTTTCAATAAACGCATTTTGCCCGACAGCAGCTAGGCTGCCGTCTTCACTATTTAGTCAAGCGACACTGCACTTATCTCAGTTCGGTAAGGCTTGCAGATGATTGGTTTTACTCATGTACTCGTGCAAATTCAATACCTGCTTCCAATAATTGGTCCACAATCTTGTTCTCACTTGTTGCTTTTAGGAAACACTGATAAACCTTCGCGGAACTACAAATACCCGGGTTAGTACACCGAAAAGCCGCGGAAAACATGTTGCGCAATTTGGCCATCATCTACAAATGCATGGTTGGCTTGTTCGGCATAGCTCAGTGCGGCTTCCGATTCCTGCCCGCCACGACTTGCTGTCTTTATCTTTCCCGTAGTTGAAACGCTAACCAAGCGAGATCACTGATCATGATCCAACTTCTAATATCACAGAGCGAGTGGCGAAAACGAGCGGAGGCAAGCGCTATGAACTCAAGTCATTTACTTCCAGCACTTCCCCTGGTTCAATTCACAAAATAAGAAATAACAGACATATAACAAAAAGAGAAGTTCTTTAGAGGCGTATCGAATTTTTTATGTGTAAAAACTTACGGAAACCTATAGATGCGAACATTTACATTCTTTTAAACCAGATCTTAAGATCCCCGGCAATGGCTACTGGCGTGCATGTTTCTCGAAACCAAAACTAGCGCTGAATTTCCAGGGCCTTGCTAAATGGCTGAGGACACGCGCTCCGAACCGAGAGGTCACACTTTGGATTCCCCACTTCAAGAGAAGTATTTTTATAAAATAATATTCTTTGTTGTTTTTCTATATATGTAGCTACCAATACATACATATACGGGGCATGACGGTGGCGCCAAACGGTGACGCCGACTGCAAAAACCAGCTGAGTGTGTCCATATAATTGCTATCGCAACAATAGGAACGACACTCGGGAGTCAGTACAAGGGTAAGAAGAAGCATAACTGTGGACTTTTAGCCAGTTCCTAATTTGTGCACACAGAAAATATTCGCGTGAGTAAAGGTGGAAGAATGCGACTATAAGATAAGCTGAGTTAGAGGAAACAAGATCTTAATTGAGCAAAATAGAGATTAGAAGCCTGCACATAAACGCCATTAACGTGTTAAGAATGCGATTTCCTTAAGAGCGATATCAAAGACGCACTCGAATACATGTCAAGCACGTTATAAGTAGACGTATAAAGACTGCTATATGTCACGTGCATGAATCTCTCTTCATTACATTAGTTTGTCAGACATATGTAATCAAGCTGTGACATAATATTTGGAACTATGCATTGCTTAATGACTGCCTATAACGCACTAAGAAATATGGGTTTTCAATTAAGCTATCGCTCTCTCAATGGTCAGTTTCACTGATGTATGAGGACTGAATGTGCGCTGAATTTTATAGTGAATATTCTGTCGGACACTCACAGATTATTTTTGTGTTTCATAAAGCATATGCACATTAGGGTACTCTTTGTTCACCTTTTGGAAAAACGTGGGAACCTGGTTCTTCAGGTGCGCAATTGGCCTGTTTGGGTGGTACTTGTTTTTCTAGGGTGAGATGCTTTGAATATAAAATAATGACACGGGCTAGCGCTCGCAAAGCTTCCGTTTCCATGTGTTACTTTCGGTTCACTTTTAAGGTCTGCATTATATATTTTTCCTATCCAAATCAAAACGTCGCTAGAATACTTGACCCAAAGGTGACTTCAGCGAGGGAAAGGACACCCAAACCTCCCCGAGGTTGAAGCGCAGTTGCGGTGTTGCCGTTGTGCCCGAGTCTACACGTTACCACGAGAAGGTTACCAGCACAGTGCCGTAATTCGTATCTTTCACAGATGATAGCGACGCCTAGCGGCAGCCGTCACACCTGTCATTCAGGGCATGCCCACGCAGCCAGCCAGTGTTCAGTTGGCATCACTTGGGTGGTTACAGCAGGATG